AAACACATGGTTATTATACAACCATGGAGGTATGAACATTATGCTCCAAGACCTAAGATGAGCTCGGTGCTCAGTAGACATTTGTGTACAATGAACTGTATTTACAGCATTGAATATACAACTTTCATTGTGTTATAACTGGTATTTTTGTGTGATAGGACAGTGGTACTTTATTTCAGGGTAGCATCAATGCTTAACCACATTCAATCTAAAACTTAACTTTCGAATTCATTTTCAAGTCAATGTCACTGGAGAACTGGAAAAAAGGGGTCAAGAAACCAGGGTTGGGGGAAGACTGGGAGAAGTGTATTTTATACAGTGGAAGAAAGTTCTGAATGATCTGAAGGTCCTGCTGTGTCCCTTATATGTGGACTTGGCAAGTCATTTGTTTTTTCTGGGTCATATTGTTACTATTTATAGCATAAGGTTCTGTCAAACTAGCTGTATTTGTCAATAAAATTTCGTTGTCATTCACTTTTTTAGTTTCCCATTATGTCAGTAACTATGGATCTTTCTTTATTTTTCACATACTGAGAAAAACAATATATTGGGTCTGGAAATTGAGGGACAGATCTTGAAATCTTGTTCACCATGAGAACGGTCCACAGTGAAATCTCTAAAAGACTTATCCCACCTCCCTAGCTTTCACATCATCTTTTTGATGCTCCTTTTTTTTTTTATGCTCCTTTTAGAGAGGAAAAGGGAGAGAGACGGAGGAAGAATTCAGTAAAGAAAATTTATAATTTCAAAGGAAATGTCTCATGTGAAAGTAGAAAATTGAGTATTTCTCAAGCTCATCTCACTTGAATATTAGAATTAGCAACTTTCACACCCTGATTTTGATTCCTTTGAGAAGAAATCCCTTTGGAAGCTGAGATAGAAAATTAATTGCCCTCCTTCTTGTATCATTTAGAGATGAGCCTTCAAAATTCCCAAAGGAGAAAATAAAAACTTTTAATAAATCCATAAGGCATTCATCTCCTCAGGACACAAAGAGGACTTACCTTGTGAAGTTCATTTTGTTTTTCTACTGGGACATTATGGCTTTTTGGTTGTACATAATGGGATTGAGACTAAGCTTTGGGACTCATTAAACTAACTGCAACTTTGGAGGGAATTCTGACAAAAGTTATACAATTAAAGGTTGGGTATTAGAGAGCACATTACTCTTTCTTGTCTTACTCCCATCTTGTTTTTAAATTCTATGATTACCTGATGTCTATTTCATAGTTAAAATTGACCATTCCCCATTAGTTAGTGAACCTAAACTATAAACAAAAGCATGCAGGTTGCATGCTGGTGGTTACTAAAAGTTTATGACTATAACCAAAAAGAATACTTTGTTCAAAGAAATAGACATAGGGATAATTAAACTATAATTACATTTACAAAAGATGATTCAGAGAAAATTATACCAAAACCTTAGCATTCTGAAATATATTCATTTATTTCATCAAAAGAATTACTCAACACTTCTTGTTGTGTATATCTATGGAGCACTACCCCAGTGTTCTCAGCACTGAGATCCAAGGTTAATATGGAAGATATATGGTGCTGGCCTTCAAAGCTGGCCTTACCAGCTAGCCAGAATTTCTCAACCTTTTCAAAGTTCTGCCCCCTAAAATGCATTTTAATTCTTCTTTATGTACTCAAAAGACTAGAGGTGTTATAGAATTCAAAATTTCAAAATCTTTATTATGAAATCAATAGATGTACTCAGTAGGTATTTTCAAATTGCAAATATTTTATGGGCAACTCCTATCAATCCCACTCTGCAGTTAGGAAGGACATCTTGTGAGTATATATTTTACTTATCTTGTTTAATTTATAACAGTTATAATTATAGGTTTATTTCCATTGTTAAGGGTCACTTTCCATCTCTCAAATATAATGTCAGATAGTCTATAGAATTTTAGACAGATCAGACAGCCTTCAATGGATACGGTTGTATGAGGTTGAACAATTGAGTTCAGGAACTCATCCTAAAAAAAGCACTTCATCCCTCACTGCTGAATATCGCTGTAGTTATCAGATGGCCAAGAGGAGTACTTCAAAGGTGACTGTAGTGATATTCAACAATTAGGTTCCATTGTTGTGTATAGTGGTATCCCATAGAATATAGGTACATGCAAGTCTCCACTTTCCATTTGTCCTTCTTTCTCCACCCTCCGAAAAGATTTCATTAACCCCATATAACTTCTTTCTCATCACATCTATTAAGGGAACTTTCTCCTTTATTTTTCTGGCTTTGTCTTCAACTCACCATGAGTACCAGCATTATCACTACAACCACCACCCTCTTAATCTTTTAACATGTCTATAATGTTGAAAATACTTTGTAAGTTTCTTTGAACAATTCCTTCCTTTAAAGAACTTAAAGTCTAAAAGGAGAAACAGTAAAGTGAACACACAGGCAAGTTCAATACTCCCGTAAATTCTATAGTGGGGATACAAACATATGAAGGTGCAAGGAGAAGGATCCAATTCCGTCATGGGGAAAGCAGTGATGTCTTCCTAGAGAAAATACAACAGTGGATACTTAGTGAAGTAGGAGCTTCTTTGCTTAGGAAGGGAGCAGCCTCAGTTGCAATGGTGGTGGGTGAGGAATCTAGACTTGCGTCTTAATGTGCTTGATAAAACATGCCAGAATGCAAGCTGAGTTGTGCCTTCATTCTTCACATTAGCAACGAACTCATAAACATTTCACCCCAAACTAGTTTCTTCTCGTTCTTGTTAATGGTGGTGTCATTCTTCTAATTTCCAAGATTCTTCTCGTGCTCTGTATCTCATACTTTCCATGCCATGTGAAGTCGTCTTGTGTCTCTAAAGTCACATCATTTTCATTGTCACACAGCCCTTCTGCTGAACCCTGTTCCAAGACTCTTCCTCTGATTTATTATTTATTACCCAGGGGTTCATTTCTCTACAAAAGTGGTTTAATCATGCCATTCTGCTATTCCTTTAATGACTCCTCATAGTATTAAATCCTTTTCTTAAAAAAAAAATACTCAAATCTTTGAAAAATTGTTCTTCATTTTATGAATTGATTTTTAGCTTTCCCAACATGTACTCTTGGCCTCAATTCAAATGGAATGGTCATTCTTTCCCCCAACATATTCTGTGGTTTTTTTTGCCTCCAAACTACTTAATTCTCAGAACTAATTTCTTATGGCAATTCCACTGGTTAAATGACCAACTTTGAGATTTCTGTCTTCAAACTTTCTAATTCACTGATCATTTTTTTTCCTGAATCAAATATACTTTTTTTACATATTTTTTTTCAGTGCACAGCATGGCAGTATCTATTAGGGGCTAGTATGTTATAAGCCTGCATTAAACGAACATGTGGAACACAGGATGAAAGTTCCTTAAAAAATTAAAAGTAGAACTGCCATATGGTACAGCAATCCCATTTCTGAGAGTATTTCCAAAAGAATTGAAATTAGGTTTTCAAAGAGATATTTGCACTTTTATATTCTTTCACGTACTATTTGCAATAGCCAAGAGGAGTAAGCAACACAAACGTCCATCCATGGGCGAATGGATCAAACAAATATAGCACATACATGCAATGGAACAGTATTAAACCTATAGCTTAGAAGGAAATACTACTATCTGGGAACAGATGGACCTGGGAGGTATTATGCTGAGTGAAATAAGTCAGTCATAGAAAGATGAGTATCAAATGATTCTTATATGAGTCAAGTAAAATAGTCAAAAAAATAGAAATAGACAACATCATGGTGGTCTCCAGAGGATGGGAGAAGAGGACAGAGGAGATTTTCAATGAATATAAAGTTCCCGTTATACAAGATGAGCAAATTCCAGAGATCTGTGCGCGCTCTCTCTCTCTCTCTCTCTCTATATATATATACACACACACAGTAATCCCCAAATATATTTTATATATGAAAATTTATATAGAAATTTTTAAGTTCACAATACCATATTGTTAACTATAAGCACTATGATATCAAAAAGACAAATACTAACAAGTATTGGTAATGATATGGAGAAAAAGAACCCTTTTCTGGGTACACTGTTGACAGGAGTATAAATTAGTACAGCCATTATGGAAAACAGCATCAAAGTTTCTTTAAAAATCACAAATTGAAATACCACATACTCCAGCAGTCCCACTACCGGACATATATCCAAAGGAAATGAAATTAGTTTATTGAAGAGGTACCTGCACTCTTCTGTTTATTGCAGCATTATTCACAATAGCTAAGACATGGAATCAACCTAAGTGTCCAAGCATGAATAAATGGATTAAAAAAAGTGGTATGTTTACACAATGGAGTATAATTCAGCCATAGAAAAGAAGGGAATCTTGTCAGTTGCAACAACATGGATGAACTTGGAGGATGTCATGTTAGGTAGAATAAGCTAGATACAGGAGGCTAACTGCTGCATAATCTCTACTCATACACGTAATCTAAAATGTTGACCTCTTAGAAATAGAGGGCAGAATAGTGGTTGCCAGGGGCTGGGGTGGTTGGAGGGGTGGTTGGGCGAGGTTGATCAACAAATACAAACTTCCAGTTAGATGGGATGAGTAAGTTCCAGAGGCCCATTGTACAACATGGTGACTATTTTTAACAATAAATTGTATTCTTGGAAAGTGATAAGAAAGTGGAGGTAAAGTTTCTCACCACAAAATGATGACTGTGTGAAATAATGTATAGGTTAACTAGCAAGAATTAGTCTTTCTACAATGTATGTATACTTTAAAACCTGTTGTCATGATAAATGAGGACAATTTATCTATTCAAAAAAAGATACCATTTTTTTTAAAAGAGCACTCGGAAACTTTAAAAGAATTTTAGAATGCTCTTTGGTTCAGAGGAAGTCTTACTGAAGTGTTATTTTTGCGGGGGGAGGTACTTAGCAAGAGTCACAGATGAGACAGCATTTGGAATATTGAGGCTACAAATTTTAAAAGCATTGGAGATAGAAACTTACATTTCAGTGAGATGAGCAGAGGCTCTACCTACGGGATGTTGCTGTAAGAGAAAAACCATTGGCCAACCTAGGCCTCATCTTCAATGTACCCGTCTTGAGGAGCTGTAGCTCCAATACTCCTGGCCTCATAATTTTCACCTTGTTGTAAAACACTAGAGATAATTGCTGAACAAATGACTATTACTGAAGCAACGCAATATTATTCAATATCCAGATCAAGGGCTAGAAATATCTAGGGAGTCAGGACACCGAAGGTTACGCCCTCCCTTGAATTGCAGAGTGGGAAGTCTCCAGAGTAGATAGAAAATTCGAGCAGATGATAGAGTCTCTAAGGAGACATTGTGAGCATCTTAGCTGTGATATAAATACAGGCATGTCAAGGTTTCCTGAGAAAGGCTCATCTGTGGGTAGTAATCCCCAAACATGAAATTAAATCCATTGTACTGCATCAATAAATTGTTCATCTGATACCAAAGAGGACATTTTACTGTGCTGCAGCTGTGACAAGAGGCGAGTGAAATAGATGCTTGACTTTTAGCTCAGGGCCTTTTGGAGATGGAGGTCTGTATTCTGACACCTCGATACTTTAGGCAGCTGAGCAGTCTGTGACAGGGCTCTTCCCACCTACATTTTTGGAACCATTTTCATCCAGAACACTTATAGAAGAGAGAAACTAAGAACAAGCATTGGGTTCTCAATAAGAAAAACCTGTGAGTATCCTAATTCAAATCCTCTTTGAAGAATTCTTTTACCCTCGAACCTTATAGCCAGTGGGGCCAAGGGCTCTGTCTGAAACATCTGTCCTTTTACTGGAGACAGCTCTAAGTGTGAGGATCTTTTTTACAGCAGGATCTAGAAGTGGAGTATGGACAATGTAGGGATAAAATGAGGGTCACAGTGGTGTCAGACAGACTTTGGGCTCTTGAGGCTTTCCTCGATGAGAAGATCTAAACTCCATGGTCTTCTAGCTATTCCATCTGGGGAAAGTCCAGTTCCTATGCTAACACATTCTATAACCATCTCTGAAATGGGGACAGAATTTTTGCATAGTCCAGACTAGTAAGAAAAGAGCACAGAAAAAGACACTAAGAGCAGAAATAAGAATCACACATGAACGGTGGTATCCAAAGAAGGGTCATTTTGAGTTGGCTCCTATTCCACAACTACCATCATATACGTGGTATGGACACATTGGGTGTCTGCTGTCAGGACCCCACTATGTAGAATAAACACACAGTGAATAAGACAGACAGGGGTCCTGGTCTTCATGAATAAAGTTACAGTCTAGCAGGAGACAAGGCACTAACTAATTCATTATGCGAATGCCACCTCATCATTGACCCTATTTTTATCAATGAGTCCTGGTCTATCTCTCATTGCATTCATAGGTCTCAGCCACTCAGCTATCCGTCAACTCTACCTGACTCCTCTTTCCATAAGTTGCTTCCTATCCTTCATCCCTGACTTTGCCCCCTGTACTTTGCTTCATTACTTAGTTTTTCCTCACCCCTCACTCTACCTCAGATTCTTATTCCACCTCTAATACCATATTCCAGATCTGAACCTTTCTTTTGTCCTGTTCCTCTTCTTGACTTTTTGTGTTGCACCCTTGCCCATTTTCAACCTCTTATTATTCTTCATTGCACCTCTGAACATTTTTCCATCCCCTGAGCCTTCATGATATCTGAGCTTTACTATTATATCTATTAATCTTTACCAATAATTTCTATTAATCTTCCTGCATTGCTGACCTTTTCTCTGTCCTTGAACCTCATTCCATCAATAACCACACTCCCACTTCATCCTTCAATCTTACTTCTTTTCTCACTTCACTCATGTACATCACTAAAGGCTGACCCTTACTCATCCTGAAACTCTGACCCACCCCCCCAATGTCCACCTACCCATCTGAGTGGAAGCTAGGGATTGGATGAGGTTCAGTGACATGCCAGACAACGAACGGTTAAAAAAGTTGAAAATTTAGTACTTTAGTATTATGAAACAGATTTGTATGCCAAAATAACAACTCTGTTGAAATTGTTCTGCCAAATTATCATGTACTTCATGTTTTCCCACCCTTAGAACTTAACACGACCTGTAGGTCCACATAGGCTCCAGCTCCACCATCCCTCTCTCTTAAGCCAATCTGGAATAACCCTCTGATACAGCAGCATTTCTATAAATCAGAGAATTTGCTGCACATCCTGGGGTGTTAAAGGGCATCTCAAAAGTCTAAAAATGCCATTTTATGGGTGAAAAAGGATTCAAAAAAGCTCATTTTCTTCTAATTGGCTTTTCCTCCATCTCCATTGATCAACAGAAGGACACATGGGAATTCCTCCTTGGTGACAGAGTTTATCCTCGAGGGTTTGACTGACCGGCCAGAACTTCAGCTTCCCCTCTTCTTCCTATTTCTAGGGATCTATCTGGTTACGGTGGTGGCCAATTTGGGCTTGATTACATTAATTTCATTAAACTCACACCTTCACACACCCATGTATTATTTCCTTTTAAATCTATCGTTCGTAGATATATGTTACTCTTCTGTCTTTACCCCCAAAATGCTCATGAATTTTGTCTTGGAGAAAAACACCATCTCCTACACAGGGTGCCTGACTCAGCTCTATTTCTTCTGCTTCTTTGTGATTGCCGAATGTTATATATTGACTGCGATGGCATACGATCGCTATGTTGCCATTTGCAAACCACTGCTATATAATGTTATACTGTCTCCTAGGATCTGTACTTTGTTTGTGTTCGGGGCATATGTGATGGGATGTTGGGGTTCCCTAGCCCACACGCTCTGTATGGCAAGACTGACGTTTTGTGATGCCAATATCGTCAACCATTATCTGTGTGATATACTCCCGGTGCTACAGCTTTCCTGCACCAGCACCTACAACAATGAGATTGTGGTCTTTGTTCTGGTTGGCATGAACATTCTGGTGTCTACCGGCACCAAGTTCATCTCCTACGCTTTCATCATCTCCAGCATCCTGCGCATCAGCTCTACAGAGGGCAGAGCTAAAGCCTTCAGCACCTGCAGCTCCCACATCGTGACTGTCTCGCTTTTCTTTGGAGCAGCAGCATTCATGTACCTCCAACCCTCTGATTCAGAGTCTATGGACCAGGGAAAAGTGGCCTCAGTCTTTTATACAAATGTTGGGCCCATGCTGAACCCCTTGATTTACAGCTTGAGGAATAAGGACGTCAAACTTGCTTTAAAGAAAACTTTGAAACGAAAAATATTTTCCTAAGCAGCAACAGAGCTCATATGAGCAACTTTTAGATTACTTTAGATTTAGATTATTCTGTTTTGTTGGAATTTCTTCATAATAAAATAGGATGCATTTTTTACCTTAATTCAGAGCCTTTTCTTTCTTTGTAAAAAGAACTCCCTTAATTCTTCCTCCTCTTCTCTTCTTAGCTTTTGTAAGTATAATTGTGTAATTACAACATTAAGGAAAAAGATAAATTATTATTTTCTCCCTGGTTACGTGAAAGGACATTTACCTTTTGAATAAATGCTGTTGATTCTGAGATTTGTTTACGAGAATCTGTGGACTCCACTTTGCTTCGTGTATCTGTGTTAGAGTAGAATTCATATGACACAAATACAATTCCAAGTTTGCTCCCAAAAGTAAAAACAGTTGATGATAAATTTTTGCCATTTGCTTCTTTGTTTCCTGGTTTTGTTAACAGTTGCAAAATCTGAACCAACTTCGATTAGTCTTTAAAAAATGTTAGAGGGAGAAATATACAATGGCAGTCAAGGTATACGGGTACTGAAAATAAATGCCACTGTGTGTACTACTTTCCAATATTTTGTCTCTATCAGCCTCTGTAGCATCAATTTGTTTTTCCTTTATAATTTGAACCATTTTTTTTTAGCTCTCATACACCACTTGACATAGTTTATCTTGAATAAAAATTATCTGGCTGCTACCCCTATAGATCAGGAGCACCTGGAGAGCACATATGTTCTTTTTTCACCTTTATCTTCCTGGTATTTGGCACAGTTTGTGCTTTTTTTTTGGATAAACACTCTTTTCACTATTTTATTCTACACTCACTTTTTTTTTACTTTTTTTTATTAAATCATATCTGTGTACATTAATGCTATCATGGGGTACAGAGTGCTGTTGCTATATACTATTTGAAATACTTTCATCCAGCTGGTTAACATAGCCTTTATGTCATTTTCTTAGTTATTATGTTAAGACATTTATATTCTACATTTAGAGAGATTCACATGTACCCTTATAGGATAAACCGTAGGCGTAATCTCACTAATCACCCTCCCTCCACCCATCCTCCCCCCTCCCCTCCCCTCCTCTCCCCTCTCCCCATATTCTTGGGCTAAAATTGGGTTATGGTTTTCCTGTGAAAGCTATAAACTAGTTTCATAGTAGGGCTGAGTACATTTGATCCCATAATTCCTCCACTAGGTATATATCCAGAAGACCAAAAATCACACTACATTAAAGATATTTGTATCAGAATGTTCACTGTGGCCCAATTCATAATTGCTAGGTCATGGAAGAAGCCCAAGTGCCCATCAACCCACGAATGGATCAATAAATTGTGGTATATGTATAGCATGGAATACTATGCAGCCATAAAGAAAGATGGAAACTTTACTTCCTTCATGTTTACATAGATGGAGCTGGAAAATATTCTTCTTAGCAAAGTATCTCAAGAATAGAAGAAAAAGTATCCAATGTACACAGTTTGTGTTTTGAATTCATTCAGTATTTGATATTCTGAATATTGTAGGGGAAAACACCTGTAGTATTTTTCACTTTCTAAAATACAAAGGTTGAGTTTTTTCTTTTTGCAAAATCCGGTGTGACAAATTTATCAAATTATTTGATATAAAAATTAAAGAGATAATTAAAATGCTTATTAAAAAGCCTGTAATGTCTAATCTTAAATTTCTCTTTATTTTAAATTTTCAGGAAGTCAGCATAAATTATAGCATATATTTTATTTTTGTGAATTTAGAGCAAGAAGTCATTATAAATAATTTTAAAATTACTATAACTGTGTAAGGCATTAATGGAAAATGGGAGTATATCAATGTCTATTTGTTAGCAACCAACAATTAAATGAGTTCAGCTTTGGCAACATGTTAAGTGAGTGATATTTGTCTTAGAGGTTGTTTTTGAATAAAAAGATTTTCAGTTGTTAATACCTGGCAAGAATATTTATTTTCTCATTCTCTAGAGAAGTTGTGCAGTGGAATAGAGAGCAAGAAACTTTATTGAAGGTAAATGAAAAGCAGAAAGCAATTACATGAGTGTTAGAACAGGATAGATGTTCTATTAACACTGATAGCAATTTCCAGAAGATATTTATCTTAGATGAAAGTAAGCTGCTTACTTTAAAACATAAGCTGTACTTCACCAAGTAGAAGAAAATTATTCTGAAAACCTATCTCTGAAGTCTTAGCAACTCTAATTGTTCAAGATATTGACATTTTATTTACTTTAAATAAACTTATGTCTTATGCTTCTTTGAAAGAAAATCAAGTAATATACCATGTAGAGATTCATAGTTACATTAAAAAGTATTCTTTATAAAATTAATAGACTGTTACATTAATAAACTGTCCTTTATAAAATTAATAAGGGGGCTGTAAGGTGGAAATTCTAGTAGGTGTCTGAACTCTACAAAGATATATGTATGCATGTGTATATATAGATATAATGTGTATATGTACATTATGTCTACATATGTATATGTATGTGTGTGTGTATATATATATATCTCCAGCATTTCTCCCCAGCTTGCTTCTCTATAATTTCTTTCTTTTTTTTTTCTTTTCTTTTCTTTTTTTTTTTTTTTTTTTTTTTT